ACGGTTTAAAGCTTCTTATATATGCCCGAAAGCTTCTTATATATTTAATTAACAAAAACTTGTAATAATGACCCTTATATAGTTTTAATATTTGGTTAACGACTTCGTCTTGCAGAAACTCAATTTAGTAATTAATTCAAACTTTATATATTTGTTAATTTTATACAGCGTTGTCACATTTAAGTCAATATCTTTTCTTAATAGATTCTCCATGATGCCTATAGGGGAATGTGAAAACATAAAGAAGAAAATCAAAAATAATGTAATTAAAAATTTTAAATCTGTTTTTTTGTTTTATGGCAGAATCTGAGTTTTCCACAACCATGTTATTGCTGATATTCTTCTGAAAGATATTTCTTTTTTGTTGAACACGTAATTTTAATTACGTGTACGATGAAGTCTTAAATGTATGCCAAATTATCTTCTCACAGCCAGATTGCCTGACAGAATTTACTCAGCCTCAGGTTGGCAATTTTAACCTATGCCGTAAAAATGTGGCCGGTATGAAGATGTCATCATCACAGCAGCCATGTACAACAACTTCCGTTTTCGTGTAAACAAATGACACTTATTGTCGCTCGCAGACGGATAAGATTCCACCAATACTAACATACATTTTTGAGCAGCTCTGCATTACTGTGCCGTAGAGTTTCTGACGCTCAATAACCTTGGGCTTTGGTGCGTATGAGTAATTTACATTTTATTCAACAAATTGGAAAGGGTGTACACATCACTCGTACGTAATGATGGATCAGATTATTTTCGCTTTTATTTTCCATTTATGTTCTCCTACTGTCTTTGTACTTTTAAGCATACGAAGAAAACGAAAGAGAAGAAGAAGAGAGAAAATAAAATCCATTAAAAAGACTTTTACCCAAAGACCCATTGAGTCTGATTTTATGGCATTAATTGCATTTTATTTTCTCCGGTACATTCGCTCAAGTACATCTTTCCTTTCATGGCATTGTTTACCTTCTTGATAAATATATGTATTGTGTGATGATAACAGAAGAACACAGCGAATATAAAACAGAAAAATAAAGCAAAAAAAAGATGATAATCGTCTTTAAGTTGTTTAACTAACTAAAGCAATCATATTATGAGCGTCTGTCTGTTTTGTGTCCCCGTTCTTTTGTGTAACGCGAATGGCTGAGTAAGGGCCAAAAAATGTAGACAAATATTATTGTGGAAAACTATTCAAACGGTCTTAAACATTTTGCGAGGAATGAATATGATTGACAAACATTTAGGAATTTTTTTTTAATTAGTTTTTTTTTTATATATGATTATGAGCAAGTTTCACCCTACATACATAGAAGTCCCTTGCACCGCTTTCATACTACTTCACAAAATTTAAATATAATAGGAAATAGTCTTCTATCGCCAAATATCAGAAGTTTTTTTGTTGTTTAAAAATTGTCCAGCTCTATTTTATTGTTGTTATTTTAATATGGTCAATATGGCATAAATGTCTTTATATATGAAGATCGTAAGTACGGTTGTAAGAATTTAAAAATTGCCCAATAATTTTTAATTAAGTACAAACACTAGGTAAAAAAAATATTTTTTTGGTGGCTCGTTCAGAAATTTCGTGTCTTTTTTCAAGGCCACAACTCGCAAGTTAAAGCAGCCTAAATTGTTTGCTGTTCTTTTACTTGTTCGGCGTGAGTTTAGTCTATGTCTTTTAAATACGGAGCTGTAGTTTTTCCAAGTCAGAAATATAACCATATCTGCCATCCCCATCATATGAGAAATCGTATTTTTTCCGTGCGAAATTCACGTTTTAAAAAACTTCAAACATATTAGCCTTAATAATATTTTTGTCAAAAATTGATCATTTTCTCAGACACATATTTTGCAAACCATTGTCTCAGAGCCTTGCTTTGAAAAGGTGTTTTAAAAATCCTAGTTTATATTTCACATTAAACCACCGTCCTTAAAAAATCTCGATTCTGTCTCCAACTTACCATAACCAACATTGGTATACCATTTGTCTTATGGCTGCACAGAATACACAGCCCGAATGTACATCATCTTAGAGTCCAGGTCTTCTTGCACAAATCGGAGTCGATCTATAGGAGTAAGGCTGTTGTGCAAGATAACTCTTGAAGAGAGTATCCGATTTGCTCCAAACGTTGTAGTGTTTAGATAACCTTAAGATCAGGCGCAAAAATGAATAGTTCTCCTTTACCACAAAAGGTCAAGATTTTGAATAAGAACTCTTGTAAAATATAAAATCAATATCCGATTTCCTTTAAAATTACTAGACCCTAATATTTTTGCCCATATTAGGCCAAGTATGAATACCACTTTTTCTCAGATTTAAGTCAGGAACGAACTTTTTAAGAGCTGTTAAAGCCTCAATTGTAGATGGTACTTTAACTCTAAATGTACCCAATATCGGGCTGGCCGCACTCTTAATACCCTCCACATTTGGAAGAAATTTAAATTAAAAAATTCGTCGAAAACACCGTTTAAATGAAAGCCGTCATATGGGGGCTATACGAAGGCGAGAAAATTTGAAATGTTCCCTTACTTTCTGAGCCAAGTAGTTCTTTTAGAGTGAATTTCAGAATATGCCCTTTTAATTAGAATTTAATAATTTTAGTTCCGGGACATTTCGTACAAGAAAGTGCTTTAAGTATTTTAAAACTTTCGATAAATAAGTCAGGAGGTTACCCCCAAAACATTATCGAAATTGGTCCTAGTTGTGGTTTGGTTTAATTTCGTTTCGGATGTAAATGTATCCAAAAGAATAGTTTGAAATTATACAGTTGAGAGATTACAATTCCAACATGGAACAATTGTTAATAATAGTACAGCGGGTCAATTTGGCGCCCAATATGAAAAATCGTATACTCGAAACCAAAATTTAATTTAAAGCCGAAATGAACTGTTATATGGGAGGTATAACCTCCTCTGGATCGACGAATCTGATCCGACATTCATCAAAATCCCTCCTATTTGAGATGATATTAAACATTTTAGTCACAATAAACGTGAAATCGGATGAAGATATATATGGGAGCATTAATCCAAATCTGAACCGACTTCTATAAACTTTAGCGGATATTTCTATGATGTTTCTGAAAGCTGGAATCAAATATCATTTTTATGGAGTGCATTTTACGCCTGTGAGAGACTTAAATACAAAATCGGATAAAACATATACTATATGGTATATAGATATTTATGAACCGGTTTTTACCAAATTTGATGCACTTTCTGTCGGCCTGAATTTGTTTGTATTGAATTCGGGCTTATATTAACCATTTGGTACATAATAAAATTGAAATCGTGTATAGATATATATTGGAGCTATATCCAAATATGAAGAGATCTCGATAAAATTTGACAAAGGTGTTTCTAAGATGTATTTGATATATTTTCCTGAATATCGTTATTACGGAGTGCGTATTACACAGTGGAGAACAAATTTAACGAATCGGATGAAAAAAAAAAAAAAAAAAAAAAAAAAAAAAAAAAAAATATATATATATATATATATATATATATATATATATATATATATATATATATATATATATATATATATATATATATATATATATATATATATATATATATATATATATATGGGAGCTTCATCTGAATCGATTTCCACCAAATTTGGCATACATGTTTCTATGTTCAATTTGGTTATACATTTGGTGCACAATAATCGGACGAAGATATATACAGGGTGAGATGAAAAAACTGCAACCAACTTCAGACTGCTGTCATTTCTAAGCCACTGGTCCGTCAGCTGTTAAAATTATTCCAATGACAACTAACCAGAACTCAAATGCCGGCCATTGGTATGGTGTGGGCCGCCATAACAGCCGAAGGTCGCCCTCCGCACGTATTAATTGACCGTGGCATCAGAAAAAATGCCGAATATTATCGCGAAAATATTCTGCAGGGTGCATTAAAGCCATGGTCACGCAAACATTTTGGCCGCAGTCCTTGGACATTCCAACCGGACTCAGCACGCGACACCCAAGAATGAGGTTCCTCGCTTAATTTCCAGCGCACAATGGTCACCAAAATCTCCTGATACCAATCCGTTGGACTATTGTGTCTGGAGTATTTTGGAAAGCAAGGTTGGTACTAAAAAATACCAAGCATAAATACCAAGCGCTTCGCCGTAATACCGCAGAGCAACATTCGGGCAGCGTGTGACGGTTTCATTGGACCTTTGAAGGTCATAATTCGTGCTAAATGTGACCAATTCGAACAAATCTAAACATATTTTAAAATTTGATGCGACATTTTAGCTTTCATTCAATAAAATGTAAAAAAAATGTAAATATTATGGCGTTTGTCTTTGTTGCAGCTTTTTACCTCACCCTGTATTCCTGATCAAAATAAAATTATAAAGCTATTTAGAGTTGACTGTCAGTCTGTTGAAATCACGAATCCACATTATTAAATCTAGACCTTTGAAATTTGGCAAATATTATTATATTATTTGCAAGCAGATTGGTATTGAGAAATAGGCAATATTTTTCCACATTTAGGTATAGCCTCCACATGAGGGTAACTCCAGATTTTCGTATTTTGAAAGCTGATTCCACAATTTCTAGCAAAATTAGCTAAAACTTGACAACTGGGGTTCTCGGTAGGCCAATTCTCTTTTTGCGAAAAATATTCCATTCAGGTCCACTTATTTGTATAGCCCTCATTTAAGGGTACCTCCCGATTTTCTGAATTTTTTAGGTTTCTGTTATAATTTCCAACCAAATCAGCTGAATCTTGACATTTGCGGTACTCGGTAGGTCTGTTCTCTCCTTGCGCAATGTGTGCGATTCAGGTTCACTACTTGGTAGAGCGCACATATAACGACAAACTATTCGCCTAAAAAAGTGTATCAGAATCTTTTTTTTTTTTTCTCTCCAAAATTCTCAACATTTATATATTTTTTATTGCATTTCAACATTGAAGTATGCCATTTTAATGTTTTTGCTTTTATTTTCGTTCTCTTGTCGTTCTCTTTTCAGATACTATTTAAGTCACAATACAGCACTTGTAAAACTCTTAAAGAAACTTGGAGCACGTCCTATTCCGCAGTGGCTTAAAGATGACCTTTCGACGGGTACGTGATAGCAACAGCAGCAGCAACATCATCACAGGGAGCGTAAATTGCGTGCAAGATTGCGCAAGCAATTGCATTTGCAATTGTTCATCTTCGAGCCCACATTTCACAAACATTTGTACCCAAATAAAAACACTAACACCAGCCACCACCAGTCAAACTTTCTAATATCGCAGCTGTCTAAAGAGCCTGCAGTCTTGCGTTCACGAGGTCAACAAGAAACGAACGTGGTCCGCCATCAGCATCGTCGACATCGCCATGGTCACGGTGTCCACTACAATAATCACGTTTATCCAATTCAGCATCAACAATTCCAGCTGCCACCACAACACTACCATCATCATCGTCCTCGTCGTCTATTAGCTTCTTAGAGCAAACATAGATTGAAGCCCAGATCTACTTGGATGAATAGCAAGCCATAGAGGAGTTGATGATTTGAATGTGTTCCAGAGTTCTGTTTCCGCCCAGTACAACAAAACGACCTGTAACGTCATTATTGCATGATTCAAATGATGGACATCACAATTGTGGCTGCGCACACGGAAAATTAGTTATCTCAAATGAAAGTAAAAATAAACCTAACACAAAACGATTCGAGTACACAGTACACTCCTTATCTGGGTACTTTAATGTACTCCAGTGTGAGTGTGTGTGTGTGTGCTTATGTTTCAATGACAATATATTGGTGAATGCTGGTTGATGGCAAAATAAATGGACAATAGAAATAAACTAAATGTCACTATACGATATTTGAAAAATAACAAAAAAAGAAGAAAAAACTCCTCATCACCTCTGGCCATTTGCGTGAACACAGCCATAACGTGACAATACAACACACAAGCCAATATAGCATTACGAAATGGGTCACCATCATCATCCATCCATTCATCCTGTCTACCACCTTAACCAACCAACCTATACACCACAACAACTACACTGATAGTTACTTTAGGGTACCATTGTAGAGTCGAAGCCATTTAGAAATTAGTTGCACAATGACATCCTCCAGACTTGCCTACACCACAAGCGAGCGCCGCCACAACAATACTGTGTGCCGTGAAAGTGTGTGGCAAGGATGGATCAAGGATGCTATGTAATGTAAATGTAAATCCAATCATATGTAGATCTATGTATGTGTATTTAGTATGTAAAGCATTAAGCAAATAAAGCAAAACGAAAATGTATAAGAAATCCACACAAAAAAATACTAGACTAAACTAAGTAAAATGTCCTAGTCGTCCTAGTGCCGTATGTGGGACAACTAACCTCCTCGTTGACTACTTTCAGAGTAGGAAAGCATTATCTCCCTCCTCGTCTGGCCTATCTATCATTAAGCGTGATTCGATGTGAAAGAGAAGAAGAAATAAAGCAAACACAACAGAGAAATCCCTGACCCAATAGCATTTGGCTGCATCCTACTCCACCACCTGCTTATGCTTATAACGACATGCTGCTAATAATAGTAACTTATATTAAACTAGCTATAAACGAAATCCTAACCGAACTGTGAATGGAAATAGGAAAAGAGAAAACAAAAAAACCATGTAAAAGAAAACGAAAATGTTAAACAAATTGAAGCCATAATAAATGTTGTTCTAAGTAAATATTAAGTTTAACGAGAAATGCTTTGTAAATATGTAGTTCGAGATGATAACTAACTCTGTAGTATACCGACTAAACTAAAGTAATTTTAAGAATGGAATGAAACTTAACGTAAAAGAGGGAAATCTAATAATAGGAAATATATCACCAACAGGTCTATTAAATAAAAGCTCATATCTAATACATATACAGTTTGTCAAGAAGGAAATCTCTTTTGGTTATCAATTTAAATTTTGGGCTTTTCTGATATTCTAATGTTTTTATTGCCTTATTGAAAAATGTTTTTTTCACATTAACTTCCGAATTCTGTATGACCATACAAAAGTGAATTCGAAAGAAAAACACCAATTCCGCAAACAAATTTTAAAATTACAGAGCATAACAAACAAGTAAAACAAAGGCTATAGCCGTGCGGGGCCGACCATGTGATGCCCTACAACACTACAATATATTATAAGCCCCCTTATGTCCAAATCCATTTTCGCTTTTGAAATTATGTCATTGAGCGCTGCCCAGATATTAAGCTTAGCTTTTTGACCATGGACATCTGCCCAATATTTACGCACTCCGTCGGGCTTTTAGTTGTTGTTGTCAATATTACAGCTAAATGTAATCCAATGGTTATCCAAAATGCCAAACTTCTTCCCTATCCTTAACTCTCTTCTCAGGCAAAATTCCGTGCCAATCGGTTTCAATTGTGTAATCAGGAAAATTTTAATGTTTTTGGTTCATTTGGACCCCTAAATATATTGCGATCATCTCCAAATGCAAGAAGCTCCTCTGTATCTCCAAATTTAGACTTATCTATATGATTTGCTTGCATAAAATAGTCAGAAGTTTGCCATTTAAGTATTTTGGATTTGGCCTGCAAGTTATTTTCAGCGTTTCCGTAGAATGGAAATGTGGGTATTTTTTTACACAAAAGTAGCTGTCCTAAACTCTTATTTCATGCAAGATTTCCTTTTGTTTCTATTTGTGACCTTTATAACGGCTGCAAAATTAGGAACATTTTTGTTGTTTGTCCATTTCAACCTCTAAATATATTGCGGACATCTTTAAAAAAAATAGGCCTAGCCCTTCTGAGTGAGGATCGGACGGTAATTGCAATATCTATATAATAACTCCAACCTGTGTTGTAGGGTGAAAAAATATTACAAAATTAAAGTAAAGTAGGAGAAAAAAGTAAAGTAGGAGAAAAAACATTGATTTTAAAGTTATTGAATTTAATTCACATGAATTTGGTAGTTTTATATGACAACAGTTGAATTATTAAAAAAGATTTTTTTCGAATTTGCGTATACAGAATTTAAGTAAAATGTTCATTTCGAAAAATTTTTATTTCACCAAAAACAGGGAGTTAATAACATTTAGTAGTACATTTACCTAGTCGATAAATAATTGTAGACCAATTCTATTCATTTTTCTTCCATAAAGTCCAAACTTTGTCATTAGAGTGTTGCGCAAAACACACCGTACCTTTTTGGTATCAACTTTTCATTTGTTATAAGAGCAATAATGGCAATAAGTTACTCTGTATAATGAATAAGCATATCGTATTGAAAGGGTAATGCAAATGTTGCACATTTGTGTTAAAAATTTGAATCTAGCTGAATTTCTATTAAACAAAGTGTCATAATGCGAAAAGTCTCATATATGGCATTCAAATTTCATTTGGGCTCAAGTACGAGCCAAGTCCCACAAGTCAATATTAAACTAAAGTTTTTTAACTAAACTATTTTTTTTATTTGACATTTTTTTATTTTAATTTTTTTTCTTGACAAACTGTGTAACCAATAACAACAAAATGAAAATGTGTAATAGAAAGAAAATACAATAAAACTACATTATAAATGCAATAAAATATCTGTTATAATTTGTGTGTTTCGAGAAAAAAAAAAACAGGTAAGACTTATAGGGTATATACGTTTATAACACTGTTCAACACAAAAATCATTACGAGAAAAATCCAGGGGGTTACTATGTAATTCGATTCGAAAGTAAAATATTTCGGATGCGATTTTTTCTACCAACTAACTCGAATTCACAAACACATTTCCTACTTTCGGATTGCCATAACCGAGTATATGATTGTCATAATCTAGTCAAAGTAGTTCGATGGTTGACATCTCTACTCCTTTGATATTTACCTAGCAGATATGAATAAAATACGGAAAAAAGTTGTTGAAATTCAAACAACTACATAAAACGCTTGGGAAAGGCAGTTAAAGTTTTCTATATACAATCAAGTGGTGTTCAAAACGGAATGAAAATTTTTATATACCGTCTATTTAATATATCCTACAAAGAAAAGCCAATTACAGTTATTTTTGGGTACAATCGCCAAAAGACCTAAATGCATCTGGGCAATCAATGGGGGAAGCAGGCGACCTAAATCGATGGCGTAATAAATTAACTGTAAATAAAGAGCTTGCAACAAAGGAAGAACCAAATCCATTTTTTGTTTTGCGAGCGAAAAATAAATACAGGGTGAGAAAAAAAAACTGCAACAAAGTCAAACGCCATTATTTTTATTTTTTTTTTTTTTAAGTTTATTAAATGAAAGCAAACAATGCCGGAATTAGAATCAAATTTTAGAATAAGTTTAGATTTGTTCGAATTGGGCACCTTTGGCACGAATTATGGCCTTCAAACGGCCAATGAAACCTTCACACGCTGCCCGAATGTTGCTCTGCAGTATTTTGGTCCATTTCCGGCGAAGCGCTTGCTTGAAGTGATCAACACTTTGGTATTTTTTAGTGGCAACCTTGCTTTTCAAAATGCTCCAGACACAATAGTGTAAAGAAGATTTTGGTGGCCATTGTGCGCTGGAAATGAAGCGAGAAACTTCATTTTGTAACCATTCTTGGGTGGCGCGTACTGAGTGCGATGGTGCTGATTCCTGTTGGAATGTCCAAAATGTTTGCGTGCCCAAGGCTTTAATACAGCCTCCAGAATATTTTCGCCATAATATTCGGCATTTATTCTGATGCCACTGTCGATTAATACGAGCGGAGAGCGACCATCGGCTGTTAGGCGGCCCACACCATCACAATGGCCGACGCTTAAGTTCTGATGGCCAACCGAAGGTGCACATTTTCAGCTGACCTATTTAGCAAGTAAACACGATCATTTTGTTTGTTTACAAACTACTGGACAACTGTGGCGAATGTTTTCTCATCGGAGTAACCCAAATTCGACAGTTCACAACTTTCGGCCAAGCGAAACAACTCTTTGGCTCATTTGAGTCTTTTTTCTATCTGTTGCGGTGTAAGTTCTTGCACTTTTTGGAATTTCATTGGCTTTACCCAAAGCTCTTTTTTTTCAATATTTTCCGAATGGAATATTGCGATATGTTCAGCTCACGAGCCATTTTTCGGTCACTACGACGCGGGTTTCGATCAAGTCGCTTCTTTACTTTTCGAACCATTTCTGCTGATGTTGCTGTTTTCTTTCGTCCACTTCCCTGACGTCGGGCAACGCTACCAGTATCACGGTAAAGAGCGATAATACGAGACACAAAAGATTTACTCACATTTCAATACTGGAGTGCTCTAACGATAGCCATTTGTGGTTTTCCAGTCAAATATAAAGAAATCACACTATCACGCTTGAATTCCATCACAAATAATTTTTTTTGGAAAATTCTCACCAAAATGCTTTTGTACGCTTGTAAACAACATATTAAGCTGTCATTGGAATAATTTTAACAGCTGTCGGTCGAGTGGCTTAGAAATGCCCGCCGTCTGAAGTTGGTTGCAGTTTTTTCATCTCACCCTTTATATAAAAATCCAGCACAGATACATTTTTTATAGAAGCTCTACAGAATAATTTGTGGTGAAAAGTTTTTTCTTTTGTTAGATAAATAAATATCGAAGTTAATTTCTTCAATGAACACATAGGTCATTTTACAACTTGTCAATTATCACAGACAATCTCTCCCCAGGCGTAGGGTATCACATGGACGACACAGACAGATATAACCCGCTTTTACTTGTGTTTAAAATAAAGATTTGTAATTTCAGCTGATTGCAACTTTCTTACTTGTTCTACTTAATTTTTGGCTTACACACTACTCCCACGTGCTGCATTTGATTCATCGCTGGAGCATGTCTGCAATGAATATATCGTGCATACATATAAGTATGGATGTATCTGTTTTTTGGCTATTGCTTATTGCTGTCCCTAATTGTTATCAACTCTTAACGTAAGAATTGAAAAAAGTTTTAAAAGCTGGTTAACCACAAGCACTCTAATAAAGTTTAGTTCCTTGTCATACTTCGATTCTGCTGAAGAGTTTAACTTTATTTTGAGCTAATAAAACTAAAAAGAACGTATTGATTTCTATGGTAACAGTGGAACCTGACAAAGTTAACATTAAAATGTGTTTCAATTTGAGATGAAAAAACTGCAACCAACTTCAGACTGCTGTCATTTCTAAGCTACTCGTCCGACAGCTGTTAAAATTATTCCAGTGACAGCTCATTATATTGTTTACAAGCGTACAAAAGCATTTTGGTGAGGATGTTCCAGAAAAACAATTATTCGTGATGGAATTCAAGCGTGATAGTGTGATTTCTTTATATTTGGCTAGAAAACCCGCAAGTGGCTATCGTTAGAGCACTCCAGCATTTAAATGTGAATAAATCTTTTGTGTCTCGTATCATCGCTCGTTACCGTGATACAGGTAGCGTTGCCCGACGTCAAGGAAGTGGACGGAAGAAAACTGCAATGCAACATCAGCAGAAATGGTTCGAAAAGTAAAGAAGCGACTTGATCGAAACCCGCGTCGTAGTGGCCGAAAAATGGCTCGTGGGTGAACATATCGCAATATTCCATTCGCAAATATTGAAAAATGAGCTCGCATTGAAATTCCAAAAAGTGCAAGAACTTACACCGCAACAGAAAGAAAATAGACTCAAAAGAGCTAAATAGTTGCTTCGTTTGGCCGAAAGTGGTGAACTGCCGAATTTGGTTTTCCCCGATGAGAAAACATTCCCCACAGTTGTCCAGCAGTTTGTAAACAAACAAAATGATCGTGTTTACTTGCCAATGACGTCAGCTGAAAATGTGCACCTTCGGTTGGCCACCAGAACTCAAGCGCCGGCCATGGTGATGGTGTGGGCCGCCGTAACAGCCGATGGTCGCTCTCCGCTCGTATTAATCGACCTTGGCATTAGAATAAATGCTGAATATTATCCCTAGAAAATATTCTGGAGGGTATATTAAAGCCTTGGGCTCTCATACATTTTGGCCGCAGACCTTGGACATTCCAAAAGAACTCAGCACCATCGCACTCAGCAAGCGCCACTTAAGAATGGTTACAAAATAAGGTCCTTGCTTCATTTCCAGCGCACAATGGCCACCAAAATCTCCGGATACCAATCCGTTGGACTATTGTGTTTGGAGTATTTTGGAAAGCAAGGTTGGCACTTAAAAATACCAAAGTGTCGATCACCTCAAGCAAGCCCTTCGCCGGGAATAGGCCAAAATACCGCAGAGCAACATTCGGACAGCGTGTGACAGTTTTATTGACCGTTTGAAGGCCATAATTCGTGCCAAAGGTGACCAATTCGAACAAATCTAAACTTATTCTAAAATTTGATTCTATTTCCGATATTTTTTGGTTGCATTCAATAATATTTTAAAAAAATGTAAAAATTATGGTGTATGACTTTGTTGCCGTTTTTTATCTCACCTGGTATATTTAAAAAATATTGCTCAAATACATGAAGTTGGGAAGTAATTCGTTTTCGTTTGTAATTTTTCAAGTCTTAAGACAAAAATTAATACACCCGTCCGTACGCCCAAGTTATATATTGCCAGTTCAATATGTGTTGTGGGTCTTACTTTACTTCGTTTTCTTTCGGCATCAGAAAGACCTTTTAATTTCCGTTACAAATCTTTGTATACCCTCTTTTATACCCTATGATCAGCGTAAAATTCTAAGCGATGTCCGCCTGCCTGCCCTTTCGAACGAATTGAGATAGAAGGCTAAAATTTTCCACACAGTAAGCAGGTTTTGCCATTAGGCAGGTTATGTTCGTAAATGGGCCATGTCGGTCCACGTTTTCGTATAGCCCCCATATAATAATATTCGATATTTTGATGATTTTTGCGACATTATATAGAGGAATTGTTTCAAACTCTGCATTTGAAGATCTTAATGGGTACTACAACGTAAATTGCTTATGCATGCCCATGTCTTCGTATAGCCCCTATATAACGGTACCTCCCAATATTCGATATTTTCATGATTTTAGAAACATTATAGGCCGGAATTGTTTTAAATTTCGCATTTGAATCAGTACTACAGCCTATGGCAAAAATTACTAACGCAGGTCTTCGTATATTACCATATAACGGTTTTCATTTAGGCAGTATTTTTCTACCATTTTTTTAAATTATTCATGTCCCTTTCAAACTGTAATTTGGTAACTGGGAAAGATATAGATCTTAAAATCTGAAATTTGGATCATCAACAATATATCAATAAATGTTTGAAATGAAACTTAGAAAAAGCACTGCTGAAATATCATCAAATAAAATCAACAAATTCTATTATTTCAACATTATTAGTATTTATATTCACTTCTTCCAGCAAAATAATACGTTTTTTCTGAAAAAAACAAAGATTTTAATTGTTTTTTTTTTTTTTTTTTTTTTTTTTTAAATCAGATATCATTACCGTTCCATTAAAATCTCAAAGAAAACAGCAAAACAATGCATGCAGAAGTATATAGACACATACATATATACCGGTGAATATTCATTGAATATGCACGGGTGTGATGTATTTAATATGCAGGAATAAACATGAAACACTCTTGTTTTCAATTCAGAGTTTTTTGGTTCAAATGAAAT